ATGTATAATGAACTTTGTGACCCAAAGGTTGGTGTCGTTCTCCCAAATTGGCAGTCAGAGAGCCAGGGTGCAATATATCCCTATGAGTGATGCTCATACTATGAGTTAAGAGCATCAGGAGCGGGAGAATGAAGGAGGAAAGAGACAGAACAGGCTCCATCTTGAAAGCAGGACTCCATCTTGGGCCAGACTGCGGACTTTGAGCTCTATGCCCAGGATCTATGGAAACGACATACCAACTGGAAAACCAGACACACACACACACACACACCCCGTGGAAGAGTCCCAGGGCTCCTACCTACTCTCCATTGCCTAAAGGAATACCCTAATTATCTGTGTGACCGAATAGAATCATAAATTCTGTTATGCTTATTGGCGTATGACCACAGGCCTATCGATAATTGTCCACTGTCAACTACCTAAGCTTAAGGCATACGAATCACAGGTTAAATTTGATTGTATCTTTCTTTTCCTTTGTTCAGACTAGTTTCAGGGAATTTGAGGGGGTGGGTTTGAGCACATACCCTTAGGGTATATAAGGTTTTCACAAAAGCTAGTTGGGGTCCTTGGCTAAGAGGAGACTCTGCCTTGGGCCCGCCAGTGTAATAAATTGCACTCCACTATCCGCATTTTCCTTCTGAGTGTTTGTTTCCTGGAACTCGTGGCTACAACATTATCTTTCAATTTGTTAGTATAGTGTATCACATTGATTGATTTGCATATACTGAAGAATCCTTGCATCCCTGGAATAAACCCAACTTGATCATGGTGTATGAGCTTTTTTGATGTGTTGCTGAATTCTGTTTGCTAAAATTTTGCTGATGAATTTTGCATCTATGTTCATCATTGATATTAGCCTGTAGTTTTCTTTTTTATTGTTGTTTTTGTCTGGTTTTGGTGTCAAAGTGATGGTGGCCTCATAGAAGGAGTTTGGAAATGTTTCTTCCTCTGTAATTTTTTGAAAGAGTTTTAGAAGGATAAGCACTAGCTCTTCTACAAATGGAAAATATTGTATTCTTTAGAACAGCACTACTTAGTAAAAAGTACTCATGGTGTGAATATAATAGCTTCCCACATTTTATTCATTGTATTCAACATAAATGATGTCTTGGTAAACTTCTTTCCACCCAATTCCTTACTCTCTAGTCATGTATATTAATTTGATATTTGGTCAAATGCGGAGGGAGGATGACCATTCCTACAAGGGCAGCCTTGCTGCTGAGCAGGGGAGGGACTAATTATGTGTGTTAATAATTCCTGTGCCCAACTGCCCTGACCCTGCTCTCTGCCCAGAGTCCTGTTAGCTGGTACATCTTTGAATTCTTGGTATTCGTCTTTGTTTCTCCTAGACAGGTTTCCATGCAGCTGGGCACCTGTGATTTGCAGGGACTGGTCAGCACTTGAGGGAGGGGCTGGGGCCTGAGTGGCCCCCTGTGGTGGGAGGGAGGGTGGACTTTCCTAGCGCCAAGTGTAAATTCCAGTTTTGGTGACGGTGGTTAATAGAGGCATGTCTGCCTCCCTCCGAAACACTACCCCTTGAAGGAATTCCTCAGATTCCTTCAGGAATGTAGTTTAGTGTTGATGAAAGTGTTTCAAGCCCAGGTCCAAGAAGTCAATACCAGGCTTGTCAACATGTTTGCCTAAACCTGGATTTCAGCTGTATTTTATCAAACCTACCTGCACCCAGACTTTACTCACTGTTTCTCCCCCTTTTATTCCATATTCTTTCTCTCATCCCCTCTTACCTTACTGTCTCTCCATGTTTTCCTCTCCTTCCCTCTTACTAGCTGTTGAGCATCATCCTGAAGCTGTTTGAGAATCTATGTAACCAGATATTTATAATGTTCAAGGGGACAACATGGACTATGAAGTTTCTCACACCGACTTCCTGACTACGGATCCGTCGTATTTCATTTTTATCTGTCCTGCTTTCACCAGCTCTGGGGTGCCAGTTTCTTGTCTCCAGGCAATGGACTGTGCTGTGAAGGCTGAGTCAGGACGGAGGCACACCTTCTGTCCTCTCACTGCTCACAGGGTCCTGGCTCTGGTCTCCCCAGGATCATGGCGGTGTCTGTTCCAGCCATTCCCCCTGCACCCTCTCTCCCAAAGTCCTCCCTGGGCTGGAAGGGATTTGGCATCACAGCTGGGTCCTCGCTCCTGGGCCAGCACACTGTTGCCCTCCCATCCTCACTCTTCCCAGGACTCTGGGGTCTGGTGAATAATGCCAGCATCTCCACGTCCACCCCCACTGAATGAGCGGCTGGTACTTCATGAAAACTCTGTACGTAAACCTATTAGGGGTGACCCTGAGTCTGCTACCCTGGTGTGGAAGGTGAGCGGGCTATGTGGTCAATGTCTCTGGTGTCGTGGGCTGGGTGAACCCTGGAAGCTACTTCACGTCCAAGTAGGGCGTGGAGACCTTCTCAGACCCTCAGGTTATGGCCTGAATGCACGTCCTCCCTGTCCTCCTGCTTCTGTGCTTGCAGGGCACTGTTTTTCAGGGCTTTCCTCTCTCTGGAAACTGTTCCTCCATGTCTCTCTCTCCCTTGCTCTGTGTAAGTCTTTCACTGGGAAGAAACTTTTTATCCATTTGGTGTCCACTTGGGTCTAGGACTAAGGAGTTTGATTAAACACATCACTGCCTGCATGAGGGCCCATGGTCAGTTTTGGAGGCAGAGTTGGGACTGAAATGACTTCAGCGTGCAGTCCTTCTGCACCCTCGATGATGGAGTGTAGCATCGCTTAACTGCTACATATATAGGTTCCGGGCGCCCTGTGGGGAGGGTAAACATGAGGCAACTCATCAGGGGAACCGCTGCATCACAACTGTGGGGGAGACTCCAGGGGCTGCAGTGAGGGCACTTCCAAATGTGTGGGAGTTGTGTCCCCAGGTAAGGGATGTTCCCAGAGGAGAGATGGCCAGGGCATTACTAGGGGAGGATAGCAGAGAGAGGATAGGGTTGAAGTGTCTGAGCTCTGAGTCTGGTTCTTGGTGTCAGACAGGGGACTGCTGAAGAGGCAGCATGACCAGGAGGATCAAGAGTCTCCGAGTCCTTCAAGGCCCTCAGGTCACTCCATGTCCCCTACTCAGATGCAGACTAGAGCTTCATGCTTGATCTGAAGACTCCAGATTTTCATATTATTATTTACACACACACACACACACACACATACACAGAATGCCAGACATAAACCAACTGAAACCGAATAATCATTGATTCACTTTGTAACTTGAAGGTGGGTGTTCAGGACCTTGGGACTAACCCTCAGGGATCCTCTTCAGACTGTAGAGAGCTTGTGACGTTAAACCCCATGACCCTCCTTGCTGATCTTACACAGGGGCCAGGGTGGGGGGCGAAGGCTGCATGAGATGGGTGTCATGGCGGACAGTGTGGACTGAGACTCAGGGCCCCAGTTCAGACGAGGCAGAACAACAGGTGCATTAAAAGGAAGTGCAGTGAACACCCATGCACATCCTCAGCCTGGACCCTCGGCAAAGCCCGACCCTCCTCTTTCCTGGCCACCTTCCTTGGGGAGGGAAGTGGGTCTGGTTTAATGGATGTGTGCAAGGCAGGAACCCATGCTATGGACATCCCCAATAGTGCCATAGGAAGCTGTGGTCACTTTTTCCTCAGGCTGTCCTGGCCCACTGTGAGCTGAATGTGGTCAGTAATTCCCCAATCCCAATCCTCAACCCTTCCAAGCGCCAGAAATTCAGCACTGGAAGGCAGTGTTATATCACCAGGTAGTGGGACTGAATCCATGGGGGGCTGGAAATAAATTGCACAATTAACTCTCACTCCAGTCCTACCACCTCCTGTTGTTACAGATGCCTTCCCCTCTTCACAGGACCCTTCCTGGGTGGATGGTGGAATTGTGTGTGGCCCCGACTCTTGCCAAGTGCATCTCATGACACTCTGCAGGGCGTCACCAGGGGGCGCCCCTCGTCACTCCAGTTCATAGGGAGCTCAGATGTGTGCTGCCTTAGTCCTCTGCCTTGTAGGACTTCCTGCAGAGATTCATGCCAGTGAGTCTCCCAGCGCGGTCACGTCTGAGATTTCTTGTTCTGCCCCTTGCAGCTCTCGGGTGAGTGAGAGTCGCCAAGACTCCTCTCCTCTCTGCTGACTTTCCTGGGGCTGTCCCGCCCAGAATGTGGTCTGCAGCCCCTGGGACCCCAGTGAATCATCACATGACTTTCAGATTCACAAAAGGGAAGCAGATGGGGTGAAAGCTGGGATGCGTCTGCTGAATGGCCCCTTGGGAAGTTATGGTGGTGGGATTCGTGGTAATTGAGAAAAAAAATCTCGTTTCTTTCAATAAAGAAACCACAACCTTCTCCCTTAGCAGGGTTAGTGTTTGAGGAAGACTTGCATATCCCCCTAACTTTCTGACAGTTTCCAGGGCACCGTCCTCCATCTTGGCCTTCTTCCACCTCACCCTTTGGGGAGCCCCTGTAGGAGGGTCCGGCTGGTCACCCAGGAAGCATGCACAGGCTGCTTGCTGCAGGACCATCCTTTCCATTACTGCTGCCGACTCCCACCGGAGGGAAACCCCTTTCAGGATGACAGTCGGCTCCCTGCGGGTGGAAATGACCAGTAAAGGCTAATCTGCCATCTCCTCTGTTGTTGGCTGCTAGGGCGGGTTCCAGGAGCATCTGAGCCTCTGTGTCCTTGGGGAAGCCTCTCCTTCCTCCCAGCATCTGTTTTCTTTGCTTACTGGGAGTTATAGGTCTCAGGTCCTTTCTTTAGTCTCCTGAGGAGTCAGCTCCCTCCTCCTCTCCACTGTCATGCTAATACAAACCGCAATTATTCCTTTCTGTCGTGATGGTTTATAGATCCCCCGCTTGGGAGAGTTAGAATCCCAGTTAATGCTTGCCAGGGTTCAACTCAATGTCTGAGTGGTCAGGAACCTGGGTGTGGAGCTGGGCTGGGCGGGAGCTGGGCACAGAAGGGAAGGGCCAATGGAGCCGGGCACCAGGGCTGTGGGCAGGGCCTCTTCACGGAGTTAAAGAGGACCAGCTATGAAAGCAGCTTTGTGTGAGTCCTCCTAAGACCCGTCCCAGCATCTGGGAGAGTCTCACCCTCGCCTGTGTCCCCTCAGCCCCTCCCGTTTCCTCGCAGTGCCCCAGACGCCCCCGCTGCACCCCAGAACACGTTTCTGCTCCGGGGAACCAGGTGAGACCTTATTCTCCTTTGCCTTCTCCTTCTAATCCTGGAGAGGCTGCGGGGACTTAGTCTCTCAGAGGGACTTCTGCGAGCTGAGCCAGAGAGGGACCCAGGTCAGAGTAAGCCGCTCAGCGAGTTGGCAGATGCACTGGGTGCTGAAGCCATGTGTTTCATGAATCTACGTATATTCCCCCTGAAGAGTATTCTTTGGATCTGGGAGACTCAGGTCCCAGACTTGAAAGGGACAAAGGGAAGCAGATAGTCGTGAGCCAGGGAACCGTGCGACGTGCGGGTCCCAGTGTGTGGGGGCAGGGAGGCGAGGGGAGAGGAGGGTAGAGGCAAAAGGGAGTGTGGGAGGGCCAGACAGGGTGGTTGGGAAACCTACTGTCGTCCCTGAGAGACTGAGGCGTAAATGCATGGACATCTGTTAGAGACGGGCTCAGTGTCCCAGAGAGCACGCGTCAGGGTCAGAGTCAGTCATCCTCACTGCAGAGGGTGAACAGGACAATCTTCAGAACTCCATGCCAGAGGGCCTGGGCCCTGGTTTGCCAACAGTAAACCTGTGTGTGCTTAATTTGTCCTGTCCGGTCACCAGCCACTCTATTCACCCCAGGCTGTGTGTCTGTCCCGTAAAAGGCCATGTGGCTGCACCTGGCGGTCCTCGTGGGCCTGTTCTACCTCCTGCGCTGGTACCGGGAGAGGCAGGTGGTGAGCCACCTCCGGGACAAGTTCGTCTTCATCACGGGCTGTGACTCGGGCTTCGGGAACCTGCTGGCCAGGCAACTGGACCTGCGAGGCTTGAGGGTCCTGGCTGCGTGTCTGACGGAGCAGGGGGCCGAGCAGCTGAGGAACCAGACGTCAGACAGGCTGCAGACGGTGATCCTGGACGTCACCAAGACTGAGAGCGTCGCTGCGGCCTCTGAGTGGGTGAAGGAGCGTGTGGGGGACAGAGGTAACACCCGGATTTCTTGTTTGTTTATTTCTTCTCTCTGTGTGAGAGAAGACCTGTTGTCAGCTCCCTGGGGAGCTGTTTAATTCCAAGCTGTTTCTGTGACTTGAAATCCACCTGCCTTCATCTCTCGCGGGTGACCAGGCAAACCTCTGCCACACCATACCCCCACCTCCTGACCTTGAGGCTCTGTCGTTTGGGGGAGAGATTTCCCTGATGAGACTGTGTCCTTGCAGACTACCTGTCTGGTGTCCCCTCCTCTCTCAGCGAAAGTCTGGCTCTCTTACTGTGTGACCAGGGTAATCAGGATGGACTTTCTTGGGGAGGGGTGGAGAGGCGGACTCTGACTGGAAGGCTGCATGGGTGGCTGGGGGCAGGGCTGGAGCTGGGCTGTGTTCTCAGCACCTAAACATGCTCTTGCTGGTGACCCGTAGCCCGGCTACTTGAGGTTTAATGTCACCCGTTTCGGTGCTGACACTGGACTTTCAGGAATTGTCTAAGGAAGGCCTGAAAACTACTGTGTGGTCACGTTCTCTCTCTTTTTTTTTTTTTTCTGTATGTGTGATGTGTCTCTTTGTGGTACTACAATTGTGCCTGTGTTTTATGGGAGAAGGAGAGAACTTTAATTTATCTAAATACAGATTTTAAACATGACACGGTGGACAGTGGGAAAAGTATGTGGACGAAAACCAAATCACCCCAAATCCTACCAGCCACAGATGAGTGCTGATAACATTTTGACATACATGATATTACATTTTGGACATAGTCTCTTTCCTAATTTTCCAGTGAAAGAAGGTGAACAATTTTACAGGTAACAAAAATGTGTTCAAAAACATAATAAATAATGATTGAGAATATTGTATTCTTTAGAATAGCTCTACTTCATGAAAATTACCTTATGGTATGAATGTAATTGGTTCCCATATTTTATTCATTGCCTTGAACATAAATGATGTCTAGGTAAACTTCTTTCTACCCAATTGCCTAAGCTCTAATCACAGGTACTAATTTGATTTTTGGTCAAATAATGAGGAATACCCATTTCTACAAGGGCAGGCTTGGTGCTGAGCAGTGGAGGAACTAATTCTGTGTGTTCACCCCAACACCTTGTTCCCAAATGCCCTGACCCTGCTGTTCTGCCCTGAGTTCTGTTAGTTGATAAGTCTTTAAGTTCTTGATGTGTCTCACAGATAGGTTCCTATGAAGCTGGGCAACCGGTGATCTGAGGGGACTGGGGCCAGAGTGGCCTCCTGTGGGAGGGAGAGGGTAGATTTTTCTGGGAAAAAGATGTATTTCTGATTTGGGGAAACATGGCTTCTCCTGAAAACCTACCCACTGAATTCCCAAATTTTTGTAGGAATATAACTCAGTATTGATAAAGGTGCTTCCAGGCCAGGCCCTACCGCTCAGTACCACGCCTCTAACCAGTTCCCCCAAACCTGGGACTTCAGGTCTCTTTTCCTCAACCAATCTGCCTTTAACCTTCATTCATCTTTTTATCTTTGTCTTTTATCTGTTTTCTCCTTCCTTCCTCTCTTTCCCTCCATTCCTCATTATTTCTCTCTGTTTTCCTCTCTTTCTTTCATATTAGCTGTTGAGCACTCAGAAAATCTGAAAAGTCAGAGGTATGTTTATAATGTCTGCAAAGGCAACACGGATTGTGAAAACTCACAATTTCGTTCTCAGATCCAGACTATAGACACACTCCATCTTCTGAAGCTCAGTACCCGCCCTCATCAGCTCTGGCCCCTTGTCGCCAGGCAGGGGGTGGGGTGTGAAGACGGCGTCAGGAGAGAGGCGCCTCTGTCCTCCCGCCGCTCGCAGGGTCTGGTCTCCCCAAACCCCCAGGAGCGTGGTCGTCTCTGCTCCAGCCGCTCCCCCGCGGCCTCTCCCCTACCGTCCTCCCGGGTCGGAAAGAGACCTGGCGCCGTGACGGGGTCCTCACTGCTGGGCCCAGCACAGCGTGCCCTCTTGCCTTCACTGTTCCCAGGACTCTGGGGTCTGGTGAATAATGCCGGCATCTCCACGCCCACGGCACCCAACCAGTGGCTGACCAAACAGGACTTCATGAAGATTCTGGACGTGAACCTGTTGGGGGTGATTGATGTGACCCTGAGTCTGCTGCCCCTGGTGCGGAAGGCGAGGGGCCGTGTGGTCAACGTCTCCAGCGTCATGGGCCGGGTGGCACTCTTCGGTGGAGGCTACAGCATGTCCAAATACGGCGTGGAGGCCTTCTCGGACTCCCTCAGGTGATGGCCTGGGACACACTGCCCACCTCGGTCCTCCTGCCTCTGTGTTTCTGGGAGAGCCTTTCACAGTGTTCCCTTCATCATTGACTGGAGCTCTTTTTATTGTAGTTGTCTCTTACTTTGCCAGGCATTCCTTGGCAAGCTCCCTCCTAAGTTCTTAATGTCAGGATGGGCTCCATGACTGTAGAGTTTGAATGAACTTACTTTGGCCTGGATGCCATCCCACAGTCTGAATGTGAGGCAGAATTGTCACTGATATAATTGGCTACAGCATGTTCCACATTTATTGCTGCTATAATATCAGGTAGGGGGAACCTTGTAGGCAATGTAACCTCATGGAAGCAATTAATCAAGTGAACCAGTTAATCATATAAGTAGTAGAGACCCTACCTTCTGCAGGGCTAAAGAGCGCTCCAAATGTTGGTGAAGGGGGTATTGAGGTAGAGAGATGATATTCAGGGGACAGTTCCAACAGGGCAGCTGAGAGATGGCTGGGAAGTGGACCAGTTAGGAGAGGAACAGAGGACACCGAGGAGTATGGAGCAGACAAAAATAGAAAGAGGTTGGTGACGGATTAGCTGTGAGGGGAATATTAGGAGATGGTGCTTAACTGGTACTTTGGAACACAGTTTGTAGGATTTACAGGTATAGGCACATGTGTACAAAATATTTGGAAAAATATTCAAACTCTATTCAGAATAACAGCATCATTAGATTTCTCCCTTTGGCTTTCTGTACTTCACAACCTCCCAGCATTTTCTGCTATCCCACCACAGTCTTTCTTGGTATCTTACTAATTTGGGGTGTATTTTTGTGTTTATGTTGAAAGACCTCTGAAGTCCTTGCCCCTCTGCCTGTTTGCCTTGCAGGAGGGAGCTCTCCTACTTTGGGGTGAAGGTGGTTATGATCGAGCCTGGTTATTTCAAGACCGCTGTGACCAGCCCTAAGGCACTTTCTCAGGGCCTCCAGGCATCTTGGAATCAGGCCAGCCCAGAGATCAAGGAACTCTATGGAGAGAAGTTCTTGGCTAACAGTGAGTGGGCTGTGGACCCTGGGGAGAGAGGCAAAGCCTGTCTGGAAGTGTGGGTCGGTCATTAGCGCTTCCTTCAGTATCGTGTCCATCCTCCAGGCTCTGAGTCACCCACACACTGGGGACATGGGCTCTGTGTCCAGGGTTCCACGTAATCACCTGGTGATGTCAGCAAAGTCTCCAGGCTTGGTAGACATGGGGACCACTGTCTCCCTGAACCCCTTATTATTTGGGGAAGACACTGAAGCCGGAGAGGGGAAAACCTGTGTAGTCATGGTAAGCTGGCATTAGAATAGCTGGTTTTCATGTCCTCAGATTTATTGTTAGTAGACACCTGCAGTTTATGTAGTCCTGATATTCTCAGGAATGGAATTAGAGGTGACTTCGTGTGGAACCATTGCTCCTGGGGTAAGAACTGGGGCACTCATTTGAGAATGTAGGTTGATTCAAGTTAGGTGGTCTAGGGATTCTTAACAACATTGCTCCATAAGTTGATCCCTAAGTCAGAAATGATGGAGGTCAAAATATATCTGGATTCTTTCTCATTCTGGACAGTCTTGAAATCACCTGACTTGTTGAACACAACCTGCTGCCAGGATCTGTCCTTGGTGACCAACTGCATGGAGCACGCCCTGACCGCCTGCCATCCCCGCACCCGATACTCACCTGGCTGGGACGCCAAGTTGATCTACCTCCCCATGAGCTACCTGCCCAGCTTCCTGGTGGATCTCATGGTGTACTGGACTAGCCCCCAACCTGCTAGGGCCCTGTAACCCAAGACTGGGGTGCATTGTAGGGGGTATCACGTATAGAGTGGGGAGAGGATGCCTCGGGGGAGGGAAATACAGTGGAGAGCAGAGCTCTCCAGGATGGGTGTCACCAGGACGCCCATCCCACCTCACTCCCATCTCCTCCCCAGTCTCCTCTTGGGATATTACTTAGGACTCAGGGATATTAGAAAGAAACAAGCTTTGTGGTGAGAAGCTGAGATCAGTAGCTCTCCTCTGTGTCCTGTTCCGTCATCAGCCTCTCAAGGCTCTGAGCCTTACGGCCCTCCTGCGACCTGGAGGAATCCACACTTAGCGGAGGGCTGAGCACCTGGAGGGCCCAGGCCCCGCCCTCTGCCCCTGCCCACCTCTTCCAGCTGTGCCTCGGACCTGGCCAGTCTGCGCTCCCACGGCAGTGCACGTGGGAGATGAAAGCCCTTCTTCCCTAAAGATCCTTGCAGTCAGGGGTGTGTGTGGAGGGTGACCACCCGCCTGACACATCTGCCCAGGT